TGGGCATTCTACTGGAAGAAACAAATCATATTAATCCCAGTTTTCTTGTTCTAAAACAAAACCAGACATCAAAAAGAAATTGAAACTCAATGAAAGAGTGGCTGAAAGACAGATTCTCCTTGGAGAGGTAAACGCAGGAGTTGGTTTTATCATGTATCCAAAGAAATATCATTTTCCCACATATTTGGTCATCTCATATTACAATTTACTTGATAAGTATTTGCAAAAACAAAAACAAAAACCAAACAAACAAAAAAACCCCAACACTATGAAACTAATTGTAGCCTATGTACCAATAGCTGTTATAGAAGATGGTAAGGTAGAAAGATTCTTTAGCAATGCCTTCCAAATTGAATCAATATATACTTTCATGATATCAGTACATACATAATTAATAGCAAAATTATGTTGGAAAATAGGGTTCAGGAATAAGGAATAATAGAAGTCAAAGGCTTATATACTATATTAAAAAAAACCTCTCCAAGGAGAATCTGTCTGTCAGCCACTCTTTCATTGAGTTTCAATTTCTTTTTGATGTCTGGTTTTGTTTGCCTATATCCTATAGTTTCTTCAAAAAAAAATGGGAGATGTTGAACATGACAAGCATCAAAAAAGTCAGACTGATTATATTTTAACAGACTAGAAATGACTAAGGCATGAGTTATTACTGAATTGGATGTAAAGTCAGACTACTGACTCATCAGAGCAAAGATAAAAATTAATAAGAAACTAGGGAAATGAATAAAAATGAAGGGGAAAGATATATCCAGTTAAAATACTCCAACCTGACCTATTTAAACAAATAAAAAAGTCCAGAGAGAAAAGGTAATCTATACAAACTTTAACCGTTTTGTAGAAAAATTTAACCTATATAAATTAATTGCCACAATAAAGAAACCAAAATAGCCTGAAAACTACCCTAGTCGTCAGATACTTGACTTACCAGCTAAGAAAAGAGATATGGCAGCCAAGAACAACACTAAGACTATATACTTGACCTCTTAAAATCTTATAGAGGATGATGGTAGAAGTGTATGAGAAGTATCTCACAAAACAGAGAGAAGCAGTGAAGTTTACAAGGGTTTTAATGGATAACTCAATTAAGCAAAGTAATCCCAAGGGCATTTGAGGATGACACTGGAAAGAAGAAAACAACCAGACTGAAAATGGGAAAAGATCTGCAAAGATTCTTATAACTAATTCCATTACAAATCAAAGATAGTAGAGCTACTGTTGCAGTTTCATGGTGGGTTATGGTGGCACCATCTCAAAGAATTCAGAGTCAGACCACCTCTAATCCAAGTACAGGCATTCATTGATGCCCTTCAGAAGTGGTGCTGGTTGCAAGAGGAATCAGCAACTTAGTAATACAACACAGGCAAATTTATAGTGTAATGATGCTGATTATACAACAGAAATTATAAAATTAAAAGGCAGGATGGGTTTGTTAAGGGATTAGGTAATGGGAAACGGTCCCTTCTATTGTTCAGTGATGAAATATCCTGGTTGTGCTGCTTTTTGATTGGCTAGCTATTGTGGTCCTCTCTGGTCAAGATGGATAGTTAGGTATTGTGGTCCTGTCTTGGGCTAAATGGATGATGTAATTGTGGTTGAGTACAAGAACACAGCTGTTCAAATATGTGAATTGGATCTGGGGGGAGTGGCTAGCTAGAGGCAGTGGCTGTATTGAGTCTGGGAGCCTGAGGTGTGGTTAAAGCCAGATTGTGTGGTCAAATCAGGATATGCCTATTGTTCAGTACGGCACATAAGGAAGTTTGAATATTGGGGCTGGGGGCAGCTTTATTAGGATTCCATCATTCCCCCACAAACAGCTGGGACCCAGATTCATTTGGGAAAAGGGATGAAGGTCTCAGCTTCTGTAGCTTCTTCAGGCTGAAAAGGGGTATAGAGCTGTCCCTGTCTCAATGGATCCTGGAGAGGAGGTTGACTGGAACTGAGCATAGGCCACATCCAGGACATGATGGATGGTTATGGACTACCAATTGTGGGTGAATGGCATATACTGTGGAAGACACAAATCTGACAGACAAATTTAATATGCAGGGACCAGATATAAGGAGAAAGAAACCAAGAGCCCATGATGCTATTATTTATTGTTGACATACAAGATTAGAATATTGGGGCTGGGGGCAATTTTATTAGGATTCCATCAGTTACGATGCTCAGACTCTAACATCCAAGTCCTGAATATGCTCATGGAGGGGGGCAGCTAAAAAGAATAAGAATGAGAAAAGCAACTATATTAGACCAAGGTGACCCAGAGGAGATCTGTGTTGGAGGTCACGTAATTGTGAAGGTATTTTTAGATCTATTCTATAAATAACTGAAGGGGGTGTAGATGAGAAAAATCTAATGACTTGTTACTGCCTCCAAAAGGTGACCAGTAGAACATTAACAATGACCTACCCATGTGCCTCCTTTTCTGTCTATATAAAATACTTGAAAATAAGCTATATATGCATTGATGGTATCTGTAATGAAGTTATTAGAAGGGAATATAGGCAGGCTTCACAAGTGATATTTGATAATAGACTACATCTTTTACTAGGGCATACTTGATCAAAAGATATAGAGAACACAAGATTTCATTGTATTTATTGTTTGTTGATTATAACTATCATTTGATTTAGTAGAGCCATAGCTACTTTAGTGGCTGTCCAACAAAATGTTTCTCATACATATGCCAAAAATGAACAAGATTCTTTAAAAGAAATAATAAGAAGGATAACCTAATTTGACGGGTCCTCTGATTGCTGATATCAAATAGGGAGATATATGCTTAACAAGATATGCCATGGAGGAGATCCAGTGCAGAATCTTAATTGCAGAGAAAATGCTTACTGATGCTAAGGTCCTTCAGTTGTTCTTGTTGACAGATGACATTGTATTGAGAGCATGTGGAACACTGGATTGCCTCCTAAATAAGATTCATGATCACTCAAAAGAGTTTGGCCCAACAGTTTATCTAGGAACAGTGAAGGGAAAACTGTCCATTGTTCAGATATGCAATTGGATAAACCATCTACGGGGCTTATACTTTTGTAGTTAGTTAGATAACTGATGAATAGCTCATTACTCCATTGGTATCTTCACAATGTCAAGAAAATATGAGGAAAATCTTGAATACTTTGACTAGACCACTTGTGGTGAACTTATGGAAGGAAATGGATGACAGTAACACAAGATGAATCTACATTATAGGAGGGAATATCACGGTGATGAGATCTCAAATATTATGGAGTATTGAGTACTTTCTATAATGGTTAAGTGGCATTTACCAAGGTATATTCCATTAACCTGGATGAAAAAAAGACTTCTCATCAACTAAATATTAAACAGATTTTGTGTCCAGTCTGTTACAGTTTGGGGATGAAATGTGAACCTTCTGATGGGGGTTAAGTTGGCTCAGTCTGAAAAGGTGTCTTGGTCTTTCTGGTAATAAAAGAATAAAAAATCTAAAGGTCATATACATACAATCAAACTGTGTCTTGCCCTCTATGAGTAGAGGAGACAAAGCAGGTGAATTATCAGTGTCATCTTCCTCGATGAATGAATCAATCAATCAATGAAAATCATTTATTAAGCGCCTACTGGGTATCAGGCACTGTGCTAGGGGTTGGAGTGGACAAAGACAAGAATGAATAATCTGCCCTCAAGGAACTTAGCATTGTTAGAGACAACACATATATAACGTATATACAAAATAAATGCAAGGTAATGGGGGTTGGGGAAAAACACTTGTTTCTGGGGGGAACAGGAATGACCTCAAGAGGCAGTTGGTGATGCAGTGAATAGAGCACTGGGTCTGGAGTTGGGAAGACCTGAGTTCAAATCTGGCCTTGACTTATTAGTTATGTAACCTTAGGCAAGTCACTTAACCTCTGTCTCAGTTTTCTCAACTGTTAAATGGGGATAATAACAACACCTACCTCCTAGGGTTGTTGTAAGGATTAAATGAGATAACAGTTGTAAAGCATTTATCATAGTGCCTGGCACATAGTAGGCTATATAAATACTTATTCCCTTTTCCTCTCATGTACTTGAGCTTGATGGTACTTGAGCTGAGCTTTGAAACAAACTAAAGATTTTAAGAGGGAGGGAGAGAGGGAGAAAGGAAGGAGGGAAGGAAGGAAGGAAGGAAGGAAGGAAGGAAGGAAGGAAGGAAGGAAATATTAAATGTGTGCCAGGCACTGTGCTAAATGTTTTACAAATATCTCATTTGATCCTTACAAAAACCCTGAAAGATAGGTGGTATTATTATTCCCATTTTACAGTTAAGGAAACTGAGGCAAATAGAAGTTAAATTACCTCCCCAGGATCACAAAGCTAGAAAGCATATAAGGCTGGATTTGAACTCAGATCTTCCTAACTCCAGGCCCAGACCTCTATACACTATACCACCTAGCCATTTCTAAAGGAAGAGGTGACTGTCCAAAGACATAGAGATAATAATGGAATGTTATGTGTGAGGAACAGCAAAAAGGCAAATTTGGCTGAGCCATTAAAGGACAAAATGGTGGTAGCATTAATTAATAGTTTGTATTTTTAAATTTTGCCCTGTGATTTCATCAGTGTAGTGGGATTCCAGGAAGGAAGGAAGACTGGTGGAGGAAAATTCTGTACCAATGGAAATCAGCACCTTTTCTTCTGGGGCCCCGAGAGGTCAGGTGACTTGCTTACACAGACAGTATACCAAATACAGGTCTTGAATGCAGGTCTTCCAAACTCTCAGTACCCAGCACTCTATTTACTAAGCTACTCTGTTTATCTCACTTTTCACTTGATGAACTTTGAATATTTCAAATTGCTAATTAGATTTTTAGGTTCATATTTGAATTCACATAATTAAATGTACATTAATAGATAGGTACTGTGCTACTTTTAAAAATGCATATACTACATTATTGTAATTTCAGAGTTTTTGTAATTTTGAAAAGTTTTCGGTGATATTAATGTAGTAATTTATATTTTTCTCTTAGGTTTTCACTGGAATCTTCACAGCAGAAATGTTTCTCAAGATAATTGCCATGGATCCATATTATTATTTCCAAGAAGGCTGGAATATTTTTGACGGTTTTATTGTCAGCCTTAGTTTAATGGAGCTTGGCCTGGCAAATGTGGAAGGACTTTCTGTACTCCGATCATTCAGACTGGTAAATGAATTGCCCATATCTACTGGTGACAAAAGATGATGTATTATCTTTTTCATGTTTATATAATTTTATTATTAATTGATTGAAATTGATTGAATTTATAATTAATTCAGCTTCACTAATAACCCCTCCCTACAGCTTTATTTTCTACAACTAGATAGTTAAGAATCATCAATCACATAGTTCTTGAACTTCTGTGGGATTTTTCTTCTATCTTATAAAATGATATTTTTTATTTTGTATTTATAATAGGATGACTTGAGTTTATGGACCTGCTAACATTAGTGGAGGAGGGAGAGGGGAAGTCATTCAATTAATTATATCCTTGGAGTTGTCTTCAGATCTCTGTGGTTTTTATGTTGGATAGAATTTGGTCAGATTTTTCTTTTCTGAATTTTGTTGAATTAACATTTATAAACACCGCTCTTGTGCATATTTTATCTTCAAGACAATGGGTTTCAAGTTCTGATGGTAAGATCTATTTCAAGTTCCCTTTTTTTCTGTCAAAATGTAGGTTACTATTGTTATTTTCTGCAGGATGTGGTGGCTCTTATTTGAAAGTGAACTGGGAAGAGAACCTCAAGCCAGAAGAGGAGATGGGGAATTGAAGTGTAATAAAGGAATTTCAGCTCAATCTAGAAATAATTGTTGCCTCTCTCCTATGACTAGATATTTGGTTGATTTGATTTTAAGACTATAAGTTCACCATACTGAGTTGGGAAATGGTTAGTTGGATGAAACTAGTAAATTGCATATTTAGCAAGTGTTTTTAGCATGTAAATTATTCTTTAGGAATAACTCAAGTACTTTGGTAGTCTCCTATAGGTCACTTACATATGATTCAATATTAAACTAATCCTCCTGACATTTTTGAAAGTAAAAAAAAAAAGATCGCTGTTATTTAATTGTAAATGATACTTTAGTGGCCCGAAAGAGCTAATACAGTTAGGTACTAACTTAATGGTAGATAGCAATTTACATATTTTTAATAGTTGGCTAATCAAGTTATTGAAGATAGATCCTGACAAAGTAGGGATATATATACATTTGTCTTTTAATAAAATGAAACATTTGGAAAATATAGCCAGATATTAAAACAAAGTATATCTGAAGGTTTTTTAAAAAATGGCTTAAAAGTCAGAATTATTTGTATTTTACCTTCTGTCGTTTACATTTTAATATTTTTTAGCATTTCTGGATTTTGGGAAAATTGAGTAAGCAAATTTTAAAATATTCATAAGACTCTGAACTTTCCAGTGATGATTATCTGGATAGAGCATATGGCAATAATCATTTCCAGATTGTGCTAAAATTCCTGTAGCAAACATAAGTTCATCAACTCCTCTTTTGGCTTCAATACATTAAAAGTAGAATACAGTTGGGCCTTTAAGAGCTTTAAATGCCAAACAAATAACTTTATATTAGATCCTAGTGATAATAATGAGCTACTGGAGTTTACTGAGGCAGAAAAGGAGGAGCTGATTTGGTCAAACCAGCATTTTAGGAAAGTTGCCTTGTTGCCTGTGTAGAAGATGGATTGGAATGGAGAGGCACTTGTAGTAGGGAGACAAATTAGGAGGACATTACATCCTTCCAGGTGAGAGATGATAGTGGCCTGAGCTAGGTTGCTGTGTGGGTGGAGATAAGGTGATTTATGCAAGAGAGGTTGTGGCAATAGAAACAATAAGATTTGACAACAGACTATATATTTAGGATAAGGGAGAGTTAGGCATTGAGGATGACATCTAGCTGTGAATCTGGGTGAATGGAAGGATGATGGTAACTTTGGCCTGACAATAGAAGTTTAAAAAAGGTATGGGTTTGGGAGAATAGATAATAAGTTATGTTTTGGCCATCAGTCCAGAGGAAATTATAGGATCCTGAATCGGGGGGAGTAATTAGATGTGAGAGATGTGGAGGTACAATGAACAAAGCTTGACAGTTGATTGGATATAAGAAGTGAGAGAGGGAAGAATCAAGGATAGCACCAAGGTTGTGAACTTTGGTCACTCGAAGAGGGAAGCTGGAAGGAGCAGTGACTAAAGGGGGAGATAATGTCTCAGTCCTATCAGAGTTTGAGATTCCAGTAGGACAGCTACACGGAGATGTGCAGTGTGCAGCTGGAGCAGCAGAACTGGAGATCCTGAGTGACGCTGTTTTTTAAAAATGGAGGTTTGGGAGACATCTGCATAGAAATGAACCCACAGGAGCAGATAAGATCACCAAGGGAGAGAGTGAAGAAAGAGAAGACAGGAGGGCCTTGGATAGAGACTAGAAGGATATCCCACTGGAAGGGAGAGGAAATGGATAAAGACCCAGGGGTGGATGATGATCCATGGAGCAGTCACATAGGGAGGAGGAGGAGGAGGAGGAGCAACAGAGCATGGTCACAAACACTGACTCAGGAAAGAATATCCACAAAGAGGTCAGCGATGTGTGATGCTGCAGAGCAGACAGGAAAGAGAAGGCCAGAAGATCTCAGTTAAGAGATCATTAGTAACTTAGCATAGAGTTATTTCAGTCAGGTGGTGGAGTCAGAAACAAGATTGCCCAGTGTTGAGGATGGACTGAGCGGCAAGGAAGTAGGGGCCATGAATATAAACGACTTTGCCAGAATGGCAGTGAAGTGAACGATTTTTCTTTTGTTTTTGTTTTTAAGTTGTGGAGAGACTTGGTTATATTCACAGGGGATGGATCCAGTAAACAAGGAAAGATTAAAGATGGAGGAGTGAGACGGAAGGATGGAAGGAGCAAGCACCCAAAGTAGAAGGAAGACGTGAGATCAAAAGCACAAGAAAAAAGCTTGGTCTTGATGAGTAGAAGGGCCTCCTCTTCTTCAGAGACCTTAAGAAAGGAGGAGAGAATGGGGCCAGTGTGGAGAACTTTTGAAGTGCTGAGTAAGATAGAAGTGAGAATGCTTGATGCCCTTGATTTTCTTGGTGAAGTAGGAGACAAGGTATTCTGCTGAGGGTATTCTTGGAAACTTGAGAAGAGAAGAAAAATGTTTGGAACAGCTGAGACCTGTAACATAATGGAGGACCAAGGAAAATAAAAGCATTCCTATATGGTAGCAAGAGCCACCTGACATTAAAAAATATTAATTTGTCATAGAACCATTAAAACTGTTGTATGACTTCCTTTGGTGACATTAAACAGTACTGGAGTAGGAGCAGAAAGGTGGGTGATGCGGGTAACCCAGGACTGAGAATTGGGAAAGTATGACAAAAGTATCATCAGAGTAAGTGATTAGAGCAAAGATCCAAGGTCAAAGAACAGTGTAGATGCAAACGGATTAAATAATGGATTGAGAATGTGAAAGGAAGAAAGTGAAGGGATGCTTTGGTAAGATACAAAGGGATGGAGGAAATGAATATTGCAATGAGGACAGGGGTTTGGAAGGAATGAGGCAGAGGGGACAGGGAAAACCAGGATACTTTTGATCACAGAAATGAACATCAGAGTTCACAATCATAGGGTTGGCATAGTTCTAGGTGGCAATGAAATCTAAGCTGTGGCCACTCTTAGGAGCAATTGAGGTGGAACTGAAGATGTAGGTCGTGGGAGTTCAAGTGTTGAATAACTGGCAGGCCAGATTATTGAAGGAGATATCAACATTTTTACTGAAGTCCCCAGGTATGAAGGCAGGGGAGGCAATAGGAAGACTGAGTCAGATCCTGAACCCCTTGAGAAAGGAGGCAAATATATTACAATAAGGACCTTTCCTGGTGCTATAAACAGATATGGAGAATTTCGATGAAGGTTGCTGAGTGATATTGGTAGAATTGGGGTCTGAAAATGTCAATGAGGAGCAAGTAGTATGATTCCTCCTACTCTTCCTCCAGGTCCACATGTCAGGGGGCATTAGAGGATCAACCTACGTTTGAGATGGTGGTAATTACGAGAGGCAATGTCTCCTGAAAGTGCAAAGTTTATGGGAGTTCAAGGCAATGGAAAAGGTGTAAGGGGAAAAGGTTGAGTGTGAAAAGGATATTCCTAGATTTATAGCAGAGATTCCAAATGGTAGAGGGCACATGGCCTGTTGCGATAGGAAGGAAGAAGAAGAGAGGGATTTGGGAGGAAGAGTACATAGCTGAATGGAGATAAAAGATCAAGGAGGAGCAGCAAGCTACCAGGGTTCTCACCTTAATACACAGGGACACTGTTCTTTCCCCAAAGAAATATGCTCATTGTAGAGTGTTGCTGAAATTGAGGGGCATTTCATTATTGGTATACCAGATGTAGTAATATAGAACATAATTGCTGCAGAAATAAGCTGTCATATACATATATGCATTTATATACAGATATATATATATATATACACATATGTATATGTATATCACCTTAAGATTTGTGAAGTGTTTCATGTACATTGCCTCAATTGATCCTTACAACAAGGCTGTGAGGTAAGTGCTACTATCCCCATTTTACAGAAGAGGAAATTGAGGCTGAGAAAGATTAAATAACTTTCTTTTGGTCTCAAAACCAGTAAGTGTGAGAGGCAGAATTCCTGACTGTAGATCTAGCAAGTTTTCTACAGTACCTTGTTCCTTTTCAGTACTTTCAGTACTTTCAGGGCCAAAATTGCAGGAGACAGGCAAGGAACAGAGGCAATATGTTCAGTAGCCACTGTTGGGAAAGCATGTCAATAATTCATTCCCCAATAGATGTAGATAGACGTGAGAAACAGAACTTCATTAGATAGTCACAGTAACAGCTTTTTCTCTGCTTGTTTTTAGCTTCGAGTTTTCAAGTTGGCAAAATCTTGGCCCACGTTGAACATGCTGATAAAGATCATTGGCAACTCAGTAGGGGCTCTGGGAAACCTGACCTTGGTGTTGGCCATCATTGTCTTCATCTTTGCTGTGGTCGGCATGCAGCTCTTTGGCAAGAGCTACAAAGAATGTGTCTGCAAGATCTCCAATGATTGTGAACTTCCTCGCTGGCACATGCATGACTTCTTCCATTCCTTCCTGATTGTGTTTCGAGTACTGTGTGGAGAATGGATAGAGACCATGTGGGACTGCATGGAGGTGGCAGGCCAAACCATGTGCCTTACTGTCTTCATGATGGTCATGGTGATTGGAAACCTAGTGGTATGTAGTAAATGTATTTTCTTCATTGTTTTAAAACCTCAAATGATGTACCCTATTAAGAAAGATGCATGACTCAACTACCCTTTTAGGAAGGGAAATGAATATTTCATATGGTTGGTTTTACTTTACAGTGGAAAATACCATAGCCGGTGCTAAATTATTCATGATAAGAGGACAAGAATAGCCTGGATAATTGAAATCCACAGAAAACCCAGAAATATCATTTGAGCCAATAGTTCCTGAGTTCCTTCCTCCCTTTGAAATTAGGAAATATCATTTTTAGTTTTCTCTTGTAGATTATGTGCTGTTAAGTAGTCACAAGTATGAGTTAAAAATGTTTCAAATCTAGGTTTCCTGCTGTCTCAGAGTTTAAAAGCTATAATGTAGGGTAAAAAAAATTAGTCTTCACACTTTTTTATTAAATATTTTTTTCCAAATTGCATGTAAAAACAATTTTTGACATTTTTAAAAATTTTGAGCTCCATCTCCCTCACTCTTTCCTCTCCCCCTTCTTTTAAAGCATGCAAGGCATTTGGTTCTTGGAAACTTGTTTTTGAGCAAAGGTCTTTTGTCAATTGAGAAATTCATTCATTCAATAAATATTTACTAAAATTTGTGCTCAATTGGAGGGGGCAGAGAAATACAAATATGAACAAGATATAGCCCCTCAGTTTCTTTGAAACCTGGAAAAACTTGTATGAACTAATTCAGAGTAAAGTGAACAGAATGAGAACAATTTAGACAGCAATAACACTAAAAACAAAATTTGAAAAGCTTAAGAAATCTGACCAACACAATGATCAACCATGGTTCCAGAGGTCAACGATAATGAAGCATGTTACCCACCTTCTAACAGAGAAGGGATTGACTCAGGGTGCGGAAAGATACATATATTTTTTGGACATGGCCAATACAGGAATTTTTAAAAACTTTTTTAAACTATGCATATTTGTTACAATGTTTTTTTTTTTATTTTTTCAATAGTGAGGGGAGGTGTGGGAAGCAGGGAAAAATTGGCTTTTAAGTGAAAAGAAATAATTTAAAAAAACAAAATATTTTCCCTGCAGTGAAATATATCTTAAATTCAGAAGAAAAATTTAGGTTATCCATAACTGTGGATTATAGCTATTATTAATTTGACAAATCATTTTTATGTATATTTAAAATACGCAATAAAATTGTTTGGAAAGTAGTAGTAGATAAGTCAGGAAAGGTATATTGAAGATTGGGTGAGATTTTTGAAGAGCTAGATTGTAACAGGCTTGAACAAGAGATTCCTTAGGTCCAATCTCTTTTTAAGCAGGCTACAATATATAACAAAAAAAAGAATTTCAAAAAGATGATGTCTTTAGGAAAATATATTGTCAAAACAGATGAGCTAGTAATGTGGTCAGAGCACATATGTTTCAGTTATTCTTGGGATGTCAGGAGAAGGCAAAGGAAAGCCTCCAGTACATTGGCTGGAACCTTTATGTAAAACTTAAAGGAGAATGTGGTTAAGAGTCATTTAGGATGGGAAAATGTGGATGAATTGGAGGGAACCTGAAACTGATGAGTAATTCCCATTTGAGAAATGGGAAGCTACTGAAACTTTTTGATCAGTGAAATACTTTATAAGGACAGTACTTTAGGGAGCTGACTGGCGATGATAATGTGGGATGAATTAGAAGGGGCAGATACTGATCACATGATATAGAATCTGTAAGTTCACTAAAAATCAAACCTACCTCTCCAATTAATACATTCTTATGTTTACATGTCAAATTAGTAAAAGAAATTCAGTTTCCTGGGGCAGTTAGCCTATGGATTCATTATCTTGATAAATGTATAAAATTTAAATTATACACTAAGGACAATATTAACTGAATCATTTTAGTTTTCTTCCTCTTTTCATACTTTTATCTGTTTTATATAAAATATAGAAAAGTCCAATTTTGATAATAGTAAAAACTATACACTCAAAATATATTTTATTTTTCCCTTACATAGAAATTGCATACAATAATGGCCTTTAGAAATTAATACTGACTAAAAAAACTTCTCAGGTAATATCTCTAGGAATATTACTTGACATTCTTGACTCCTCAGAAATCAGTGATAAAATGTGATTGCATATGGTTTCAATATGGATTCACTGAAAATCAAACTGAGAAGGTCAATGTCATGACTTAAAATTGTCAGTCTTGACTGAAGGCAAGTATGGATCTTGACTTTGGTACTTAAATTTTGTTTTATATTTTGCCAAAGTTCTATGATTTCATGTAAGTGAAGTATTTGCATTCATTTTAGCAAGATAGTCTAACATGGGTTATAGGAAATAGCTGTTAACACAATCATTGTGTTAATAGTATTAGATTTAATTATATTGGAAACAACTGGACTTTCTGATACCTGTTTTCTTATTTCAGGTACTGAACCTGTTTCTGGCCCTGCTGCTGAGCTCTTTTAGTTCAGACAACCTTGCTGCTACAGATGATGATAATGAAATGAATAATCTCCAGATTGCTGTGGGAAGGATGCAGAAGGGGATAGATTATGTGAAAAGAAAATTACGTGAATTTATCCAGAAAGCCTTTGTTAGAAAACAGAAAGCTTTGGATGAAATCAAACCACTTGAGGATCTAAACAATAAGAAAGACAGCTGTATTTCTAACCATACCACAGTAGAAATAGGCAAAGATCTGAATTATCTTAAAGATGGGAATGGAACAACCAGTGGAATAGGCAGCAGTGTTGAAAAATATGTTATTGATGAAAGTGACTACATGTCATTCATAAATAACCCCAGCCTCACTGTAACAGTACCAATTGCTGTTGGAGAATCTGACTTTGAGAATTTGAATACAGAAGAGTTCAGCAGTGAATCAGATCTAGAGGAAAGCAAAGAGGTAGGCCTTTTTGAAATAGGAAAAATGCTTTAGTATTTATTTTTTACTTTTTTATGTTGTTGGACAATGCTAAATCTGTTTGTTTTTTTTGTTTGTTTGTTTTTTTTTTACTGAAAAAAGAAGTAATCTCTATCAACTATCGCAAGACTAATGATTGATATGTAAGTTTCACTTCAGTACCAAAAATCCTGGTAATTTGTTATTTCTTTCAAGCAATCATGATTTTGGATGTTTTATGATACTTAAGACAATAATGTTAGGTTTTCTTCTTGTGTGTTCTGTCTTGTGGTTAACATAGTGCTCTTGAAAAGTTTCAATTGATGAACTAAGTACCTTCGGTTGGACTAGTACTAAAATAGGAATCTTCCCCATAAGAGTACCATTAGTCTACGTGTCTTAAGTGTCTTTAGATATAGTGGAGAAACCTTTGGTGGAAAATTGGTTGGCTCTCTAGGGAAGTTACATCCTTGACTCTTCAGAAATCACTGATAAAATGTGATTGCACTTGGTTTCAATGGGGATTCACTGAACATCCCACTGAGATGGCCAGTCTTATGACTTAAAAATGTCAGTCTTGGCTAAAGTCAGATTTGGATCTTGACTTTGATTCTTAAATTTTGTTTTATATCTTATCAACAAGGGTATTTGGGGAAAGGGGAAGTTTTTTCTCCAAAAAACTTATAGTCCTAACTGTGAATTTCCTGTTTTAAGGAAGTCTGACCAAGTAAGTGACAATTCAGCTTTGCAAAAACATAAAAACGAGGAGTTTGATTCTTTGCATTATAAAAGTCTGCTTCACAAAAGGATTCTTTTAAGTCAAAGGTTTCTTAGGGCACATAAGTGTTAATTTATAGATCAAGCCAGTTCTTATTGGGGAAGGGAGAAGATGGGGAGGAAGAGCAGGACACCTTAAAGATAACTTGAAATTTAAAGATAAAATATTAAGAATCACTTCATTGTCAAATTCAAAAGCACAGGAAGATACACAAAAACACAACTAACAAACCTGGGTGGTTCAAGTTTACTTTTGATTTTTCATTTCCTTTTTTGTTTTTCTGTAGAAAAAAAGCAATACCTTTGATTAGCAATAATGGTCTGCTACATTCTTTAATGCTCCCTGAGTAATCACCACATTATTCAATGAAGGTAAAGTGGAAATGTTATATTGTACTTCTTTCAATAAATTTTTAGTTCGTAGGACCTAAATAAACCTCTTAGGATCTCTTGAGAGCCACACAGACAATAAGAGAAAAAAATCTGATTTTCTTTTTAGTGTAAGGAATCTGGCCTACTCACATATATGTGCACATACAATCCGCATATTGTCCCTGTTAGCCTAACCATTCCTTGATGATAAAATGAAAACTGTACTGACAAGAAATGAATCTCAACTTCATACATCGCAATGACAATATTTTAAAGCATCAACCCAGACAACTCATTTATAAACAAAACTGGTAGTTAAAATAGGAGCTTTTATTTTTTTTTATAACAACGTTATGGTTTTTGAGGTAATCAGGGCTGTGATATCACCATTTAACGCTAGTAGTAAATGTGATGTGAAATTTTAAAAAAAGAAAGAAAAGAAAAAAAGGAAAAGAAAAAAGGATGCTTCTATAAGATGCAAACAGCAGAGTAAAGGTTATAGCTACCACTTTGCTAATATTGCTGAGATAATTTATGAAAATGTACTAATACATTATAGCCTGAAAAATAGCTGCTGATATGAAAAACATTATCTTTAAATGGACTAATCATCTAAAATAAATGTTCTCATCTTTGGGTCTGTGAACTTTTAAAAAATATATTTTGATGACTATTTTATTATAATTGTTTCTTTTGTAATCCTTTGTATTATAATTTATGCATTTAAAAACATTACTCTGAGACAAAGTCCGTGGGCTTCAGTAAACTACTACTAAATGGGTCTATGGCACATAGAAAAACAGACTTTTCATTTGGTCATTGTTGAACAGACCATGCTAAAGAATTAGGACCAATTTCTGGCATTTAATACTTGTATCCAATTACGGAGGCTAAAATCAGTCTTCCAAAGTAAATTCTTAGCTATATGAAAATTAGCCTTCAGGATTTGATCATTAGAATGGAAATATTTGTGCTCCTCCTTAGTAGCATACTCTTGCAGTAAGTAAAGGTGATTTTTGTTTCTTGCATACTCATTTACTAACATATTATTCAAACTGGACTTGATGTTCTCACCCAATTAAACATTTAAAAAGTACCTGTCACCAAATGAAACCATTGAGGTGTGGTTCCTTCGAAAGACAAAGTGATTTTAATTCACATTCCTAGTGTTTGCAGATATGCACCAAATGTCATTGGTCCAAAATGTCATTTTTTTTTTTTACATCTAGCCCAATCCAATACAATCCAAGAAACATTTATTAAGCATCTACTACGTGCCAGGCACTGTGCTAAGAGCTAGGGATGCAATCAATAAAAAGAAAGACAGTTGCTGTCCTTAAGTAGCTTATAATCCAATGGAAGTCAGCCCCACTAATTTGGTGTAGCTTAAAATAAGGACAACTACACTCAGCTCTCAGTTTCTCCTGATTCCTTATTACTTATAAGTTTGATGTTTGTTTGAACATCATTTTCTGTGACCTGAAAGCTACTATTAAGTTGAAATTCACTGTGGGAGTCTAATCTATAGGTTCCTATTAGAAGTGTGCATATCTGCTACCTTACTTAAGGAGTGTTCTCTTTCGCTTCTCCTACTGTGTTGCTGTATTTGTAAATTCAGTTCAGTATAATTTATTAAGGACCTGCTGTGTGCAGGAAATATGGCTAAAACTCAAATGTGAAGAAACTTTCCAATTACGGCTTTTTTTTAATTAAATCTTTTAGAGGTGGTGATTAAAAAACAAGATCAGCAGTAACAACTCATTCTTTACATATATTTATTTATTTATTTAACTATTCACTTATTCCTGCCTTCCCCACAATAGCAAAGAGCAGAAAACTAGGATAGATGTCTGGAAAATTTATTTTGTGAACCTGGCTACCACTACTCTGGCAGAATATGAACATTCTATTGGGGGTGTATTGGGTAGGCGATATAGGTTGCTATTCGTTTCCAAAGAGCTAGAAAAAAAGGTTTAAAAATAAAGTAAGAGAAAGCAAAATGGGAGATTATTTTTATGGAAGCAATGTCTTAATGTGTTCAGATCAAGAATATATTTAGTAGTTTTTTACCATAGTGTTTTTTTTTTAATATTTTGCCAGGATATGTTTCTAAATTATGGTCCCTGCTGCCAGCTTTCTAGATTAAAGTCTGAACTATTGAAGAATACATTTTAGGATAATTTCACTAAAAGTTATACTTGGAGGAATACCCTGGAATTCAAATTGGAATGTTTCAGATCTATTTTAATCCCACATGTGATATTTTTACATACAACACTAGAATCTTACTACAGGCATACCTTGGAGATGTTGCGGGTTCTGTTCCAGACCACCACAATAAAGTGAATATCACAATAAAGTGAGTCACACGAATTTTTTAGTTTCCCAGTGCATATAAAAGTTTGTTCACACTGTACTATAGTCTATTAAGTATGCAATAATATTCTGCCTGAGAAACAATGTGCATACTTTAATTAAAAAATGCTTTGTTGCTAAAAAAAAAAATTCTAACCATCACCTAAGCCTTCAGTGAGTGGTAATCTTTTTACTGGTGGAGGGTTTTGCCTGGATATTCATGGCTGATGACTGATCAGGCTGCTAAAGGTTGGGGTAGCTGTGGCAATTTTCTTAAAATAAGACAACAATGAAGTTTGCTGAATCAATAGACTCTTCACTTGAATGCTTGGAGGCCATTGTAGGGTTATTAATTGGCCTAATTTCAATACTGTACCTCAGGGAACAGGGAGACTCTAGGAGAGGGAGAGAGATAAGGGAGTTGCCAGTTGGTGAAGCAGTCAGAACACACAACATTTATCAATTAAAGTGGTATGGTTTGTGGCTCCCAAAACAATTGTAATAGTAACATCAAAGATCCCTGATCACATATCACCATAACAGATATAATAATGTTGGGAAAGTTTGAAGTATTGCAAGAATTACCAAAATGTGACACAGAGACATGATGTGAGCACAAGCTATTGGAAACGCTTAAGCAGGGTTGCCACAAACCTTCAATTTGTAAAAAAACACAATATCTGCAAAGTGCAGTAAAACGAGGTATCCTTGTACATAATGTGACATCAAGGGAGACAATGTGGAATTCAATATAAGGGAGGTTTATCATGGAAACTATGCAAGAGAGTAGAGTTATTGAAGAGCAATATGCATCTTTTTAGAGGACAGCCATCTTCTGTTTGGATATCAGATGATTTCATGTCTTCTACCAAGGACAGCTTTAGAATAAGACTCCAGGGTATTTTAGCCACAATTCAAATAGTAGCAATTTATTTGTTCATTTAAACTCTTCACTTCTATTCTTTTGTGTTTAAAATAATTCCTTTTAATGTCTTTTGACTTTTAGTGATTGACTATATGCTCTGCTTTTTGGAGTTCAGTAAAAGAGATATATTAAAAAAAATTGTGTTGAAGTCATATTTGAATGCCTTTTTGTTCCAGTATAAAATTTAGCCATATCCTATCATGAACTTCACTGCTTACCATTCTTACTTCTCACAGGGGTAGAGTCAAGCTGGAGCAGTCAAGAATGCAGCTCTGGTGGTTTTTAACCAGACAGAGGCACGTGCCACCACCACATTTACCCAGGTTACCTAAGCAAATTATCAATGTATACTCACTTCTTCCTGACTATGGACTGGCCTGCATGCTCCTTAGCTATGTTCCTTGCCCATCCATTGGCAGTACAGTAGAAACATGCACAGATGCTCTCTATGCTGTCATTTAAGCATGGTCAGGCAAGTCTGACAATCCTAACATTTCTGTGACTTAGCGGCTGATTTTCCTGTGTAGACTTTAATAGAAAGTTGTACTTAATGACAAAGTGCATGCCTTTTATA